GAATTTGATCTTTTAATTGAACTTAATGTATCTTAATACATTACGCCATGTTAAGTGTTTATGTTTTTCTACAGGAGGAAAACGCTTAACGAGAGACTTTGCATTGCGTTCATATTCTGCTGTTCTGTGGCCACGGATTTGCGGGTCTTGTCTTTTTCTTGCAGGACCCTGTACGTTATAGTACTAAATTAGTTGTAATCGTTTAAGCACCACAGCTTCTTGTCTCCATTGGCAACACGCACGATTTGTATCGATTGCAAGTGACGTCGCAGGTAGCGGAGAGAGTGCAAGTGGCGATTGCAAGTGACTTCGTAATTTTGTTTATTTTTTCTTGTCTTCACCACCTGGCTACTGTTGTAAAATGTTGAGAGAGTCAAACAAAAAGTAATAAAAAATAGAACAAAATAAAAAAAATAAAAGACTGCAAGTGACGTTGCTAGCGGAAGCGCAAGTGTCTGAGAGTGCAAGTCTGAGAATGCACATCTGAGAGTGCAAGTGCAAGGCTGCAGCTAGACCTAGACCCTCTTGGCGAGAGTCGCGGGAATCAGTGACTGCAGTGCTCCGTTTTCAACTCCTCCCTCGACTTCAAGAGGCAAATCTCACCGATCGGTATTCGGTAAGTTCGTTTGAGATGCCAGACGCCTCTACATGAACGAGGACGAGAATAGACACTAGCAGTCATCCTCTAATCGTATTTGTGGCAGTTGTACAAGCGTTTGGGTGAACTCCATGCTGGTAGCGATAGTGCTTACTATGCTGGCGGAAGTAAGAATACCCTGCTTCGCGTCAGAACGGAAGTTGCGTGACGTCTTCTTCTTTTGTGTTTAATGGCGGTTGACAAACCAGCTTAAGGTGCATTTCCGCCACCTACTGGGATGGATATACTACTACTAATAAAAATTTTTAAAAAACTAAATTCTTCTAATCAACTCTGTATCTCGCAGATATTTTAGAAGAAAATCATAAACCCTTAGATGTTTCTGTGCATTCTGAAATATATTCATAACTGAAATGTCATTGATTTCCATATCTCTTAGTTTTTCAACAAGTTGCTTTCTTTGTCTATTATATGCCTCACAATGTAAAAGCACATGTTCAACTGTTTCTGTTATTCCACAGTAACTGCAGCTATCTGACTCACTTTTTCCTATTATATGCAATGAATAATTAAGGTTAGAGTGTCCTATATGGATCCTGGTTATAACAGTATCTTCTCTTCTGTTTCCACATACCTTTCTTTCAATCCCCGCTTTCTGTTGAATGCTAAATAAGTGTCTCCCTTTTGACTCTTTATTCCATACATCTTGCCACATACTTCCAACTGCTGTTTTAATAATACCTTTTACTTCTGTTTTACTTAAAGGAATTTCTATGTCAATCTCTTCTTTTCTCAATGCTGACTTGGCTAGCTTATCCACCTCCTCATTTCCTTCTACACCTACATGGGCAGGTATCCATAAAAACTCTACTCTTACTCCTGTTTGGTTTATTCTATATAAATTCTGTAAAATTTCATAAAGTATATCTTGTCTAGATTTGCGTGACGTCATGTGAAAAGGGCCTATTAGAAAGACCTTTATCCACGCCCCCTACCTTTCGGCACGCCCTAATCTTTCACCACACCCACTGCTCCAGCCTGCAGTTATCCCTACTTGTTTTGCTTCGCAGCACCTGAAGGATGTGTTCATTACGGCAAACATTAAGGCGGGAGCCGATTTGAAACAGCAACATTAATTGGTTTAATTGCAGGTAAGTGACAATTCAACTATATCCAATAAACAATGAGGCTATTTGCTGCTTGTCTTGACTGGTAAATAGCGTATAGGGCAGGGGTGTCAAACTCAATACTAGGGGCCCGTACTTCGTACCTCGCTTAATACATCTGAGATTATTTAAATATTATATTTTGATATTATATACAGATATTATATACAGATATTGGTTCTTGCAGATTTTATTAAAATATCTGGATTAAGTTGTCAAAGATTACTGCACGTTCTCGTGTTCCCCGTAAAGGGCAGATACTCAAAACCACGATCAGCAATGCAGCAATTGGCTGGCAGCAAGACAGCCACGCAATGACAGCATATAATTAAAAAAGACACCTGACGAAAAACTTGAGAAATTTCTGAACCTTTATAAGGAAACAGCCCAATTATTTATATTCACGATTTCTAGTATTTGTACAGGCTTTACTTATTCCATTGTAATTAGCAATTCATGTAATTTTATCATTGAAGCAGATTTGTTATGTGACAGCATTAATTAAAGGTTCTTAAGGGTCAAGATCAAGTTCCAGTGCTCCATCAAGCCACTCCCATAATAGCTGTCACCACTCAAATTAATACACGACTCAGATTAACTGTACAACATGTGTGTAAGTCTCTAATACAATTATGATGTAATTATTTTATCATGAATAAATCTTTCAGTGAGTAAAACTGGCTGTATCTAGATTACACAACATTATAATATTATTTTTAAGTTAATTTTTTAATTATTATTATTTTAAATTGTCACCGGATAAATAGGGTACTCATGTAATAAAGTAGCAGTGGCTGGGACAGATTTTAAATATCAATTCCACTTAAAAAAGATGCAATCTAATCCTGTTTACATGAAATAAGCCTGCTCCCGAACAGGTTTAAGCTTACAGACCTATGAATGAAAGAAATTCCAGAATGAGCTTCGAAGAATCAAATAATCCAAGATCATGCCG